GATGTTCTATTAGGTTTATAATAATAAAGTTTATTACCTTGCTTGATTAGAAGATAATTGCAAGATAGAAAATTATACTAATAAAAGAAATAAATGGCAGATAACGAATAAGTACAGTTTAGAGCAGTGTATTTGTGAAATATTAGGCTATAAGAAGTATCGAAGAAGGACAGTTGAGTAGCTCTTTAAATATTCTAAAAATAAAATTATTAACTACAATAAATTTTAAAAGAAGAAAATAAGAATCGGTTCTCATTCGATTTAAACTTAAATTGACCTGATTTAAAAGTTCTACTGAACTACTGCGAATAAATCATTTAATATTCTATTGACGTCTAATAAATATGAGTAAAAAAATTTTAATTTTAATCACCTATTTGAATACATGATTATTTCGAAGTATAGCTTTTAATAATATTGTCGTTTATTTTAATTTTATACCAACATGTTATATAAACGTTAATGTTAACGGCATTTATGATGGTTGTGACAATTCGATAAGTAGGGTTAAAAGATAATCTAATTTAGATTAAATAAAAGAAAACGATTTCAAAGTATATTTGAACCATATTTCAAAGAACAATTTGATGAAATCATTATTTAACTGTTTTTTTTTCATTATTGTTATCAAAATAATTTTTTTTTTTGATTATCCTCATTTAGTATACAGACAAAGCGAGAAAAAAGATCAAATCATTATCAAATGGAGAATACACTTATGCACTTAGTGTCGCTAATTTCCGAAATACTTCGATCACTTTTTCAGAGGGATAACTTAGTATCAAATTGTAGCTTGACAAAAGACAAATCGTTCCATGAAGTCAGATTTTCGGGCCTATTTTTTTTTCTCGAGAAAATTATTAATTAAGTGGACCAATAGGATACAATGAAACACAAAGGCCAATAACAATAGGGTATGATGTTATGGTTGATATATACATGCATTCACTGTAAAAAATGCCAAGTGTCTTACAAGACTGTGCATGCGACTAAAGTATAGTTTAGACACGAATTAGACATGAGACGTGTCTTACGTTTTAGACACTTGAGTTGATTAGACACTGATGCGTCTTACACATTATATTAGTTGATCATTACGTGAGTCTCTTTTAGACCGTTGAATAGTTCATCATTGATATTTCAAATATTATTATCAAAATAGTTATTAATATTAATAATAATTGTGAGAACAACATAAACTTCTGCTGAGCATAGCCAGTAGAGCATACAATAATCAGATACTGCTGATCAAATAAAAGTATAGTAGAATAGTACCCTCTATCAAGAGTAACTTCTTATACATATACCACTGGTTAGTGCATATTGACCAATGGTGAAAGCATTTTGTTCTATTTATGCGTTTCCTTTTTTTTCGGTATGTTTATTTTTTATTCTTTTTCCTTTCGACCAACACATTACTGTATCTGTTCCCGGTAAAACATCGAACTAATTGCAATTATTTTATTCTACTTGAATGATTAAATTTTATCTTCACATGTAAGTATTACTTTTTTTTATTACTATAATTTTTTTTGCCTTCAGTTACTTCTTTTATTGCAGATGATCATTGACACTGCTTTGTTCTTTATGCTGTAGATGATTATTTGGATGACTTTAACATTATTTTCATTTTATTCTTTCAAACAACCTTTATTCGCTTGTTCTATTTGAATCAACACATTTCGCTGATTATGTTCAACTGAAACGAATGAGTTTATTTTGATTTTATCGCTCTTTATTTTTTTTATTTTAGATTATCTCTATTTTTTTCTATGGTTTAATCATTGTGGTTTTGATTTTTGTATCATTTATATAATAAAAAGTAAGTTTAATTTTATTTTCAAAAAGAAAGTCTCTGCTTGAATATATATGAAAAAAAATAATAACAAAAAGACTAGATTACATAATAAAAGTTTATAAGATAGTAAACGATTTACCATAAGGGTGTAAGGGAAGATATAATAATCCGTTTAATGAAATTAGCTTCAATACTTTTTTATAACAAATGTCTTCCAAGAAAAAACAATCAAGTTTGCTTATTTCTTCGACTTCAAATGCCCGTAGCTGTTGTATGTACCCTTTGACTTTATACATTGTACAAATAAAAGCACATCTTTTTCCATCATAAAAAATCCACTTTATTTTGCCAACTACTGGTAAAGTTGGAAAATATTCTCTTGAAACATTCAGGATTGTGTTGTGTGAATATTTTTGCCCATTTACGACAAATGTTTTTAATGTTGACCGAGGTTTAAATGATGACTTAAATGTATTTGAGATGACAAATTGTATTTGTTTGTCATTGATCGGCTGTCGATCGTCAAGTCGACCATGTGGTACATCTGATAGGGCCGTATGAGAAAAGGATCCGTCCTGCGAATGATCGTTGACACATACCCATAGCTCGTGTCTTCGAGCCAACATCAGTGAAGGATGTTTTAGGTTTCTAACTTTGTTTCCTTTGAAAAATTGATGTTTTCTTTCTGTTGCCAGACATGATGTATAAACCAAAGGCCCCAAATCTTTCATGAGAGCAGGAAAATGAGTCATAAAATGAAACTTGAATTTCATTTTTCCAGGATATAATTTTTTAAATTGATCGTTATGCACATTGATGAAGTGTGACAACTGTTGATGAGTATCATCAGTAATAGTTGTAGCAAAACATAACGAAAGAATATCCACACAGAGTAAGATCGTACGATATTGTGAAAAATCTGATGATTGAAGCAATTTTTTGAGAATGAAAGGTAGATTTATAAATAGGTGAAATGTTTGCATTGATGTTAAAGGCATTCCCAAATTATTTTGTTTCTTTAACTCATCAGATGTTAAATCCAGATGTGGTTTTGAGTTTAATTCACTTCCATCATAGGGAAATTTGTTCACTTCGTAGCAAAATTGCTCCAGCTTGAAATAACCCTTTGAGATACAAAAGTCCAGGAATGCGTTCAGATGATTAGGAAACACACCCTATAATTATTACCAAAACAATCAATTAAAAACTCATTGAATAATGGTTTTGTTTCAAAAGCAGTAAATTTATGTCCTACTAGTTTTATGTAAAAAAGTTCAAACTATTTACATTAACTTTGTGTCCCAAAATCACTTATTTACTAACAGATGGATTGATTAAATGATAGTCTCTTTTGGATAAAAAGTAGTTTTTTGTGTAAAGCTAACACGATCTCGATTTATTTTTACCTCTAACAAAGTATGCATGATATCATACGGACATTGGCGTGTGACATCATATAATTGATCAAATAAACTTCTATTATTTATTCCATATTTTTTAGATAAGTACTCATACGATTTGGCAGAATCTTGAACAAGCTCCAATTGATTGCATCTACCAAAGAATATTAAAAGAAGCTAAAAGGTAAGCTAAAAATTGTCACTAACCGGTCTCTGTATTCAGTTAGAGTAATAGTCGGAAATTCATAAGAAATATCCTCTTCCAAATTGTCATGCTGTATGTCACAAAGGTGACAGAAATGAGTCGCAGATACGCTTTCCTTGAATCCATTCAGAGACATTTGAGCTGGATAATCACCAAGTGAGATGAATAAGCCGCCGAAATAAGTGACATCATTGCCATTTATATTGATGGTGATACCTATACTCGATGTTATGAAAGAATGCCATTTTTTTAAGTAATTAAGTGTTACTCTACCGCTAGTAGAAAGTACATGCATTCCCATTAAAAAATCATCAACAGTATGTGATAACGAATTGTATTTCCGTGCCCATTTTGGACAAGCTGCTATAAGTCTTTTTGTTGCTTGTCTTGATCGTTTTTCTCGAGAAACGTTCAACAGTGACCAATAGAAGAAGAAAATTGAATGAGCACGATGAGATATAGGATTAGTAATTGTTAAATCATCTGAATTCAGTTCAATTTTGAGATAATTTGGCTTTTGGAAGTTTGGATGATTCCGTGAGTAACTACCATCATGAATGTCTTGAACGCAGTTAGGATCATAGTCAGGTGTTGCACAATTAAGATCAGCTTGAACTTCCGGCAGACGTAGGTAGTTTACAAGACTGCTTAGAAAAGGCACATAGGAGTATTTCACTGTTTTAGTTTCTTTGTTTTTTGTAGTTATCTGTAAAGAAAAAAAGAAGCATAGAAGCCTTAAATAGATTCTAAATCTTTTTATGAACTATAAAAACATCGCTTTTTTTAAGTAGTCTTTGATAGTCGTCTGAGTTTCAGAACATACCTTATATGATCGACTAACAGGTTCGATATATTGAAAATACTCCGTAGCTTTCTTCTTTCGAATGTGACTTGATTTTAACTGATCGATACAGACAGCTAAAGCATTGAGATTCTAAATCAAGTTAGATATAAGATAGATGTACACTCAACTATTATTAAATTACAGACCAGATTCTTCGCAGCCATAGCAAGAAAAAGTTCCGTAAGGTTTGTCGTAACAAAGTCAATAGCTGCCTCAGATGTATAGAAAACCGTTTGAAGAGTCAGCAACAAATATAAAACACGTTTTTCAAATGCTTTAAGTTGCTCTTCTTCACTTAAGCTTTCCGTTCCATTACTAGTATTAATTGATTCATTTTCCAGATCTTGATCTTGTCCATCGCTTGTATCCAGACGAAATTCTGAATCTGGAACTTCTTCTTGATTATCTGCATTTAAAAACTCTTCCTGATCACCTTCGTCTTCATCCTGTGCTATATCTTCGTGACGCTGTTCTGTTTTCTCATTATGAAATCGATACCAACTAGAAATGAGAAAAAATTATTTTTTTTTTAATAGACTCAAGCAAAAATTAATTAAATATCTCACTGAGTTTGTAGACTTCGCAATGTACTAAATGAACCACCACAATAACATATAAGTCGAATTTTTTTACTGTGACTATGCAAGTCACGGTGATGTTTGACATAAGCTGACAACGTATTAAAATCGATTTGACAAATAGAACAGTGCATTCTTGATCTAAAAATAAAATGAATGTTTTTTTTTATTCTAGATGAAAATTGTATTTGAACATCAAGGTCGTAAAACAACTATAATTGGAAATGATTATGTTACAATTGTCGACAAAATTAGATCAATTTTTCCCGATCAGAATCATCGTCGAATACAATTTTATGATCCTGAACTTACTGATTACTTTGAATTTACTTCACTTGAACAAGTTATTGATCAACCTAATGGACTAAAGATGAGTTTTGATATGTCAGATACATTAGATTCAGTTATACCTGATCCTGCTTCATCATCAACAATCAATGTGAACGAAAATGCTTCGACAAACAAAAATATTACTCCAACTACTTCTACAAAAAGATCTCGAAAAAAATCATCACTAGAACATGAGGTATTGTTATTAATTTCAATTATGCTGTTTTTATTTTTATCCTTTCTCTTTAAGAATAAAAACGATGAACCACTAGTGTTACCAACGTATTGCGATTTGATTACCCAAGGTTTACAGTCTCGAGGTGAGTCGGATCTAATTTTATTTTTTATTGTTTTATTCGTATATTGTAGATTCATTTCCAGCAATTCAAAAACCGTTCTTAGAACAAACATGCACTCATTTTCTTCAACAATATCCTGATTGTTCTTTGAAAAATGTTCATCATTCATTTATTTTAGCACTTACACAAAAGTTTCCAGCATTAAATTATTTGAACCTGAACGTCGATGGAAAAAATGGCAAAGCACCACATGTAAGTTTATTCGAAAATCATTAAGTATTAAAAAGAAAATGATCTGATAACAACTATTTTCTTCATTGATAGCATACAATATCTAATCTACTTTCTCGAAAAAAAAGAAATATGAAGTATTCAAAAACTCATCCAACACCAAAGCGACCACGACTACCTACAATTAATTCAAATTCTGATGGTAAAACAAGTGAAAGTGTAGTTGTTGAAGAGACAACAGACAAAGATGATATACATAATCCGGTGATTGACGATGGAAAAAAAAGTAGGTTCTATGTATCAGTGTAACAAATAAAACAATTATCATTTGTATTTGTAGGTCAATGTTCATTTCAAGATTTGCAAGAGTTATTGGACGAGACAAGTGGAATTGAAGCATTTGCACTGCAGCCTGATGTAAACGGTAAATATTTCAATTCGACTCAAAACATGCATTATTTGTCTTAACTTTGATTTTTTTTCTTTTTAGATCAATCAACAGTAACAGCTGCACCAACAAAAACACCAATTCGACCACAAACAATATCGAAGACTGATCGTACAGCAACTATTTCACTAATACCACCAACAACTCCATCAATTGTTAATACTTCATCAATTTCAACTCCATCAATTATTAATACTTCATATGTTTCAACTCCACCAGTGATGATTAAACCAGTTGCTACAACAAATGCAGTTTCTACTCTGATATATCACGATGGCCGTATGCATATCACTCCAGGTAAGTTGTTCAACTGTAAAGAAAGGAATGGACTGTTTTTAATAGAGAAAAAGAAAAAATGAGTCATCGACTGCTTTAGTAAAGAAAGTATGTTATTTTTTTTCTTTCCTGCACACATTAGTCAGATTTACTCCATACAGCTGATAATATAGAAGAAATGGTCATTGAGTTATATTAAAAAGAAAATAATTTCATGTCTCGTTCGCTCTATTTATTCAGTTTTTTTTTAATGTTTCTACTATTAGTAGAGAAAGCAAGCACTTTCATTCTTTAATATAATAGATAGCTTTTCTACTACAGTGGATTAGGTTTTTAATAGATGGTCGATGTTAATATTTGAAGCAGCACTCATTATTGAAAACATTTGTACCGCATATTTAATGTATTTCTGGTATTTCAGTGTCATCACAATCAGTTGTTGCTGTTCATAAAGCAATAATACCACGAGATACAGCAAAGAAAGGAGGTACATCCTTTTATTTTTTTTAAATCTTTCGATCTTTCGTTTCCTTTAGCAAATAATGAAAATAATAATTGTACAGGTTTAGCAACATCTACTATAAAAGATTCAGAAAAGATTCTGCAACGTAAGTAATCTGATTTCCTTTACTGTGGATGTTTTTCTTTCTATTTTAGCATCTACCATCGACAATATTCAACAATCAAATAGTTTAAAAAATGATTTAGAAGTTTGGTTTCCGAAATTATCAAAATCTGAACAAACTGCATACAATAAAGATGTTAGTCGTCTTCGTTCAATTGTGAAGCCAAAGACTAGATCAACAAATCATATTTCAATTGGTGAAATTCATGCTCTTATCCGTAATACTCATACAATTAGACGTCGAATGTTGTCTGAAAAACAAGATATAGATTTTACTGTGAAGGTATTAGAATATCAAGAGATTTTTCATGAAGAAGCGGTAAGCAAGATTTTTTTACTTTTCTCACCGTGAAACTATTCTTTTTCCACCATTCTTTTTTTCGTTATTCATAATTCCTTCGATTCTTTCCAATATTCGAAATGACTGATGCATTTATTGGTTGAGCAATTGGATATTTCATTTCTTTTGTAGCTTGTTATCGAATATATGTTACTTAAAAATCGATTATGCACTTTCGACGAGGTACAAGATCAAGCACGTTTATTACTTGATGATTTGATTGAAAAATATTCAGTTAAACAACAGAAACAAGTAAGTTTAAGTTATTTCTTTGTGTTACATATTTTTCTTTGTAGAGTGAAGCTGATTTTCTATCAATGAACATGTTATGTGAAGATGCAGGTGAACACAACTTATTTTTCAAAGTAAAGTTTTTTTATTAATTTACTATGTTTCTTTTGTTTTATTGACTTAGAATGGTTTAACTGATCCACATCCGGTGATGGGCATTGTAATTATGCCCTCAACAGCAAAAGAATTTGAAAAAGCTTTTATGTTTATAAGATATTTACCTTACAAAATGCCGGTGTCAATCGGTGGTGGTGGTCTGCAGAAAATATTAGCACTTCTCTTGGTTATATACATCAATTTAAATGTCTCACCTGGTCACAAACTACTTCGATTATTGTCTGAACAATGTAATAAAAAACAAGTCTTATAACAAGGTAATAAAGTTTCATTATATAAAGATACATGTTTTTGTACCAGTTGTTAGTTCTTTTTTTCTTAATTGCTAAGATTCATCGTTTTTGTAATCTCATATGTTTTGTTTTATTTTTCTATATTTCTTAATTGCAAAGATTCATCATTTTTTGTTTGTAATCTCACGTGTTTGTTTTTTTTTTATTTTTCTATATTCAGCTAGTCTTAAAACAAGTGTATTGTGTGTATGAAGTATGAAATGTTTAATTTCTATTGTGGTCTTATATTGTACTTTGAAATCTATTTTTATTGTAGATAATACTAATATCATCAATATTCGTTCAATATTTTTGTCATCAGAAATGTATTATATACGCCTGTTTTGAAACAGCTTTTTGCAAATCAGTAATGTATCCATAAGATCGAGGTTCCAATGAGTCGAGCAAGGTTTTTTTTCAGCAGGAAATATTTCCGACAGATAGATGTTCGCTATTTCTTCAATTTCGTTTATTAACTATTCGCCATGAGATCCTTTTACTTAGATACTTTTCAAATTTCAGCTGCAGATACGTTTTTATTCGTTTCTGATTGGGGTTTCCATTGATCTGAGTCTTAGAGCGTTTAAAAATAAATTAATTAAGGGTTCAATAGGATCTTCCCTGAAGAATATTTTCGTATAAAAACCCTAGGTTTTATATTTGTGGAAACTAAATATTCTGAGTGTAACAGCGTTACCAACAAATACAGACTTTTTGGAAAAAATTTAATTTTTTCTAATTAGTTCTGTGTTTGTTTGATGATAAAGTTACATTCAGAATATTTAGCTGTCATAAATATAAAACCTAGAATTTTTGTGCAAAAATATTCTTCAGGGAAGATCCTATTGAATCCTTAATTAATTTATTTTTAGACGCTTATAGGATTCAGATCAATAGAAACGTCTACCGAAGACGCTTGCTAGACGTTTCGATCATTGGTGCAGATTATCCAATCAGAAAAAAATAAGACACGTCAGTGTCTAAAATCGGTCATCCGTTGACACATGAAGCGTCTAAATTAGATGTGTCTTAACCAATCAGAAGTTAAGTCAAACTGTCTTGTTCTAGCAGACGAACCGTCTTGAGCATACATCTCATGTGTCTTGATTTTTTAGAGTGTTCAGAATCAAAAGAGTATCCATTAACAAAAATGAATTTCATCTTTTTAGAGCGTTTTCGATCACTCAATACCGTTGTCTTCCCCATGTCTCCATTCGACTTCTAAAATACAGTAGATAGCAAATCCTTATATAACAGTTTTAGTAATAATCGTGTTGTTTTCTTATCAGTATTTCTAACAGCAGGGTCAACTATTGTGACAAAGTAGCAAGCACTCTTGTAATGCTTAGTTGACACTATTGTACAATTTCGTTTTCATAGTTGACAAACTCGATCCTAACTTCCCGGTTTTGTAATCAATAGTGGTGTATTCGATATCATGACATGACAGTCAAAAATTAGATTCAGTGAAATGCTATTCTGTCTTTCAAATCTTATTCTTTCATACTTGATGCACTTTTCCTTTCGGCGACCTATGTCAATGTTTGATACGTGTTTACTTTAGAGACAGTGCACCCATTCACAAGTAGTATTTTATATAGAAAAAATCTTCCTTGATTGTAGTAAACTAGTGTGCATTTTTATTTTATGTTGCTGTTATCTGATTTATGAAATCTTAGATAAAAGAAGTCTTCATCGGCTACCATTAAGTATTTAAAGTCGTATATTTTCTATTGGTCCTTATGTGTAAGTGCGAAGAGTAGTTGCATAAGGTGTAGCACTTTAACTATAAATTTAAATAAAAATAAAAATAAGAGTTCTTTGCAATTTATGTTTCAAAAAGTTAAA